GAAGCTTTCTTGTTTTAGCGTCCCTTCGCTTAATGGCAGCGATGGTCCAGTTAAGGATATTGATATTCTATTTGCAACACAGGGACACCACGGTATATTCTGTATTTTTTTGGTCTTTTTTTAAAATTCACCTCGGTATCCAGTACCAGACGTACACGCTTGTAGTACTCCTTTCTTACCTTCTCCTTCATTTGGCTATACTGTATTCCATTTCTTCTGCCAATTCCTAGGTACTTATAGGCTTCATCTTGTTCCAATTCCCTGATCTTTTTTGACAAAATCAACATCTATTGAATTTGTTTCTGCAATTCTCCCTTTCTTGAATGTTATTTTGCACATTTATCGAATCCGAAATTCATACCTATGTCGTCAGCGAAACATTTTAAAATATTGAGGAGGTCCATCAACTCATTGTCTTCTTTGGCAAAGAGTTCGAGATCATCCATATAGAGTCAGTGATTGAATACTTCTTTTATTTATTATTATTATTATTATTATTATTGCATAGAAGGGCCTGAAATAAAATGAAAATATTTTACAAGGAACCGGAAACCTTATCCTAAACAGGAAACAAGGTATATACTTCTACTCCTGTTCAAGAGCTTCTCATCATTAGGTTGTTGAATTATTTATATACTTATGTATGTTCAATTAGCATATTTCACTTTTTCTAGTGATTTACCCAGGCATCAGATATCATCAAGAAATATCTCATCTCTGGTCAGACTAGATTGTTTGACACTGAAGTAAATTTAATTCCTCTCTCCTTATTTTTTTTCTTGACTTATCTTCCTCTTTTTATCTTATTTTTTTAACCATTGACAGCATTTCTTTCTTTTCTTTCATATTATTATATATATATATATATATATATATATATATATATATATATATATATATATATGCATCTTTTCGGTCTGATTTACTTTACAATGTGTTAAACTTCATTTCCATCTTTGTTTTTCTACTTCTCAATACAACATCGGCTTTTCGCCTTGGTAGACCAGCCTCGTTTTGGCTAACAACCAAATTTGCTTTTCAAGAAAACAAACACTATTCGAACGCTAAATACTTTCAGTGAACCAATTTCGTTCACATATGAAAAGGAATGTGTGTGTATGTGTAACTATGTCTATGTATCTGGGTATGATTTTAAACTTATCTACTATTGAAAATATTTGTTTTTCTCTCATGCTAATATTTTTTTAAATGCGAGTTCAAATAAGCAGTAGACTGATCTAGTTCCACGTGTCATGTTTAATAGATGTCAGTTTCTCCTGTTAATTCCTCACATGGCACAGTGGATAAAGGCGTTAGTTAAATCCAATGACAGGACCCAAAGAGTGTGAGTTCAATACCCGGTAAAGGCGATGAAGAACTTGGAGCGGGGAATTAACAGGCAATAACTGACAACCATTGGACATGGCACGTGGAACTAGAACAGTCTACTCCAGTGAGCGAAATAAAGGGTTCAGTTCGACATTCCAACCACCTGAAGAAGGCCGGAGCGTACAACGGCCGAAACATTATAATAAATATGGCAACAAATATGAGGACAATAGTCTGAATAATGTAAATAGTGTACATAATACCTGATCTCAGAAATATAGATAGATACTGAAGGGCCGAAACGTTGTAATAAATATGGCGATAAAGATGAGGACAATAGGCCGAATAATGTAAATAGTGTACATGATACCTCATCTCAAAAATATAGACAGATACTGAAGGGCCAAAAGGTTGTAATAAATATGGCGACAAAGATGAGGACAAGAGTCCGAATAATGTAAACAGTGTACATAATATCTCATCTCAGAAATATAAACAGATCATGAAGGAAATCTTATTATAACCAGCGTAAGATGGCATGTATTTAGCCGTCTCTTTATTTTCTGGTTGTGAAGACGACATTTCTGGAAAATATTTATTACATTTAAACTGCTAAATTAGAAAGAGCATGTTTTCTTGTATACATCTAAAATCATCTTCAGATGCCATGTCTAAGATGAAATGTGAACTCACATTACACTTTGGGGAATTGTCAAATTAGCTGCTAAGTTGGATCCGCCATAATCAAACTGCCTAACGAGCAAGAAGTTTTTCGAAATAAAAAGCATATATGCTTTTTTCAAATAATTATGATTAGCATTTTTATGAAATAGCATTCATAAATATTTGATGTCAGAGAAAAAATGTCTAAAAAGAGTCACAGAACGAAAAAAAAGTATTTTATTGCAAATAAGCATAGCAGAGTGAAATTAACCAAAAAAGTTGGAAAAAAAAGTCTAAGAATTTACTAAAATGAAAATATTATTTCAATATTTAATGCAATCAGTAATTTTGTTTCGTTCTCTTCTTAAGGAAATAGTTTCTACATACGTAAGCAAAGTTCATTTCCCAGGAGTGCACCAAAGAATTTGGATTTGTTGCCCTGATGATTCTTTTTTTGTAATATTCTTCTGTTAATTCGAAATTTGTCCATGCAAACTGAATATGGGGTCTACGATGAGACACGCTACTCACTAGTAACAAACTGTGATACATTCTTGCTATGTATTACCGCATGAGAAGCTATTAGTATTTACTAAATATGACTTAGTCTTTGCACAAAGCCTTAACTATAGAGCACCCGGTGAGAACAGACCTCACTACTGAATAGAAATGATTTGTAGTATTTTTTTAATCCCTTCACATCCAAGAAGGCAATAAAACCACTAAGATGCAAGAGGTTATTGAGAATAAAAGAAACAGAGGGGAAGCAATTTAAGAACTGGATTCAAGGATGCATAAGATCGTAGTTGACAGGTAAGCGAGTTCAACAAGTAAGAAGTGCGAGAGAAGAAACAGTTAGCATAGAACTTACGGTTACAACTACCATTTTCAACGGTGACCTTATACGACCTATCTGCCAATCCAGTGCCGGACTTAAATTTGCGAAGTCACTGTAATTTCATCAGAACAATTAATGTGAAAATATTTATAGAAGAGGCAAATGGAAAATACGTTACGGCGGTGGGAAACTGATTGAAGCCGAGATGCCATGTCAGGACCGATAACATTGCCAATCCTTCTTTGGATATTGTTAAGACTCTACAGATACATGGCAGAGGCGCAAGATCAGATGTGGCAGCAATATTCAGTGGACGGACGGACGAATGGTAGCCTTACAAATGTACAAGATATTACCTCACGCCAAAATACCTTTATTTACTACACCTGACTTGTTTTTTTTTTAAAAAAAAAAATTCTAAGTATGCGGTATCCAGTAAAAACAGAACTCACTACTCAATAACAATTATCAAGCAGATTGGTTTGTTAACCATCACACCAGCTAAGACGCCCAAGGAAATTTACTGGTTGCGGGTGGAAAAACGTATCAATAGATTATTCTTCGCCTACACAACTTCCCACGCATTGCTTTAAGTGAAGACTTCGCAATCCGACTCACAATGCATTTTGTCCTCGCCTTTCCAGACATTGGAGAGAAAGCAAGGATTTAGAAAGAGACACAGAGAGAAATAGATCAGTAGGACAAAAGAGACGCAATTCCTGTCAAATAACTTGATGTCCTTATTAGTTCTAGTGTTGTCATCTACAGTACACGCACCCTGCCTTTAGAAATGATTATTCAGTATCTGCTAAAGTTCACAGGCCTACTCAAGGACATAGTTTACGAAAGACCTCTTGAGAATTCCATTCACTCGGAATTGTTCTTACCTTCTGTCAGACATCGTAAGACGCACTTCGATGCGAGAAGTCTTTAAACAATAAGCGATACGCAAAGAAAAGGAGGCGGGGAGCTGAATCAGTACACTTATAGATGGAACAGTCGTTAATTCGTAGACAGCATGGATATCTAAAGTAAATCAACCCAGACTGGGACACTGTCAAGTTTCTTTGGTCGCAAAACGCTTTGTTACGCAAGATCCAAACGAATATATATATATATATATATATATATATATATATATATATATATATATATATATATATATATATATATATATATATATATTTGTAAACGTATATCACTGGGCTGGCATTAAACGATCCCTTACAAGTCCGTGCTTAAATTGATAAATCAGATATATTGATAGCCAGCATAGTATTCTAAAATCGATCCCCTTCCAGATAGCAATGATCAACCGACGTGGATTTAATTCTAACTCCTGCAGATCAGAAAGAGCGAAAATATAACAGATACTACACTCTTATTATGCATTTACTTGACGCCATTTTGTGGCGGGATATCAAACAAACATCTCTCTTTAGTCTAATGCGGCTGTTGCTGAGGCAGGCTTAAGATGACTAATAAGATTAATAACTATCCGATACTACGCTATGATCCTGCAGCGAAGGCTGAGAGGTTTACGATCACTATTTATCCAGCATTACCCAGTGGTAGGATGTGACACAAAGTTTAATGTGTAATGCCCACGCGCGTGCTTATGGGTAAAGAATAAAAATGCCCAGTCCCTGCTAACGATACGCCGAATCAGAAAAAAATCGGTTGGCTTTTCTATGGGCCAATAATAGAGGAAAGTAGCCTTATAAATATTTGATGCTAACAGGACACAAGAGGTACAGAGTGAAGCAGGGAGTTACCCACCCGGCGAGCTGATGTCAATGGATGGATGAACAGTAGGTGGCACGGATAAGAAAAGCGCTACAAATCGTACGAAGTTGTATCGAGGCATGATATAAAAGAAGATTATTGTTTATACACATTTTGAAAGATTTCTTTCGTTTATGTTTCAGTGAAGACGTCCCATCAATTCGACAATTCGCCTACAATCTATTGATACGCTGAAAGACAAATACAAACCGCTTTGCCAAAACGAGGCTCTTTTTTCAAAGCCCAGCAATGCTAGATTTTGAATCACGCTATTTGCCACTTTAAAAATAATGCTGCTCTAACTTGGGTACTCGAGAGAAGAAAATTCAGAAATGAAGTGACAAATTAGAAATAAATAAATGAATACGAGACTCTTATGTAATATTTATTCTCCTATATTTCGGAGAGAGAGAGTTAGAGAGAGTGAAAGAGAGAGAGTGAAAGAGAGAGAGAGAGTTAGAGAGAGTGAAAGAGAGAGAGAGTGAAACTGAGAGAAAGAGAGTGAATGATAGACAGAAAGAAAGAGAATGAAAGAGAGAGGGAGAAACAGTGAGAGAAAGAGAGCGTGAGAGAGAGAAAGAAAGAGAGAGAGTGAAAGATGTATAAATAGAGAGAGTGTGTAAGAGAGAGTGTGTAAGAGAGAGAGAAAGAAGGCTTGAAACGGAGACAGTGAAAGACAGCGTGAAAGAGAGAATGACAGAGAGAGGGAGAAAAAGAATGAAAAATAGAAAGAAAGTGAAAGAGATAGATATATAAAAAGAGAGGGAGTGCGAAAAAGAGAGAGAATGAGTGAGAGAAGGTGGGCCGTTTCCTCCCAATTGAAAAATTAATATTTTAAGCAAGCAAGATGTGATTTTTACCGATGAATGTTTGACCGTTTCCATCAACGGATCATGTGCCAAATGGATAAAGTATGAGGCGAGTAAGAGGTAGAAAGAAAAAGACAGCTGATATTTTCGAGATATAAGGCTCAGAGAATTTAACACTCACAAGACGGGTCAAATGTAAGGGGAGCAGAGGAAAATTGCGAATGGTCAGGTTTCTCCCGATGAATGGAGAAAAACGTACTAAAATGCCATAAAAGAGAAACTATTGTAGAAAGCTTTGATCGTCAAGGACACGACACATAGAGAAAGTCCGTCCTGGGTAAGGCGATAAACTACATTCAGCGTCCTGGGTAAGACGATAAACTACGTCCAACAGCAAGGCCTCTGATCAGGAGGTTTTGAGGAGCGTGGAACCACCTGTTAACTGTTGGTGTTCCCAGGTCCAACTTGACCCGGGGTAGTATCAGCTGTTAGGATCTCAACTATGCTCTCACCCAAACTGGGATCAAACCACTATGACAGTGTAAAAATAGGTTTTAATAACAGAAATACATTTTTGTAAATAATTCTTACCAACAATAATTTTTTGAAGAAGAATTATTACCATCAATAGATATATTAGCAGCAATACATTTTTGAATGAAAAAATATTACCAGAAATACATTTCTGTGGAAAAATTATTGCCATCAATACATTTCTGAAAAAAATATTACCAGCAACAAAAATCTTGTCGGCTCTAAAAAACCCATTGAGGTTGATATACCGTAAAAGATATTTGGTGTCTCGACATCTATTTCATTTTTTTTTTTATCTGTTTAATCTATTAAACATTTATTACATAAGAATAAAAAAAAGTAATGTCTTGACCAGAAATTCCAAATGTCTACCTTTTCAAACGAGAAAGTTATTAGTGACATTACCGGCTGTAAGGAATGCTGTAAGTGAAAGGAAAAAAATAGAGTTTTTCTATTGTTAGTATGAATTTATATAAACGCTAGTCAACTGCTGCTGTTATTACGACCCTATCTTTTCTATAGCCAATAATCTGTCACAGGTGACCTAACTCACTACAAATGTCTGTATCACTCACATTTATTTTCTTTTTTTCTTTTTCGGTTTGTGAACTTTCTTTCAAAACATGACCAACAAATATATAAAGAGACTAAAATAAATTTGAATAAAAAAAGACTAAACAGTTCTATGATCCTGAAGTGGGCACTAAATCTGAGTCAATCTGGTCAGCCGAGACATGGACACCGAAGTGTATGACAAATACTCCAAGTGCGCACCGGAAATGAGAATCAACGTGACTAAGACGATATTTAAACGAGACTTGATGAAACGCGTAAGAGAAACTGAAAGCAAACTGTAATTTTCTCATGCGGGAAGGGACTTCTTTAGATGAGAGACAATGAGCTAATGGACTATATATATATATATATATATATATATATATATATATATATATATATATATATATATATATATGGGCGAGAGAGAGGAGAGAGAGAGAGATGCTTGCCGAAATTGTCCATCGGTCTGTTTGGCTGTTCAGTGTACATCTTCCGTGTCTCAATGAACATTTCAGAATTCACTTGAAATCCCTTTATTACGTAATGTAGGCATACCTGGATACGGTCAGACATTACTCTTTAATACATGTTGTGTTAAACAAGACTGAAAATGTACTTTTCTTGAGTAACTTTTTATTAAACTATTCTTATATGCGATCAGGTATTTTCTTTTGGCGGCCCATTTTGAAATTAAGAATATATATACTTTTCAGCAACTATTAGACGCTCTAAACATTGACACACCATTAATTAAAGTAGTACAATGGAAATTCTTAAAGATGGTTAAAAAAAAAAACCTAACCGGAAGCACTCGGAAACAACCGATATTTGGACAGTTTCGACCCTCATTAAGTTCAGATCAAAAAAACACTTTTTCACATAAAAGAAAAATATATTAAAACAAAAAAAATACATTGTCAATATTATTTATTAACATGTGAGTATGTATTGGCTGAGGTGTTAGCTGGAATATTTCGGCAACTC